TCCGTCGTTGCTTTTCAACGGTCTTCGAGTTGACACGCAAGTGTTCAGAAATACAAAAAGGAAACGATGGTGAACACACCAACACAACCACACGTTGGCGACAACCGCAGGCACCCTTTACATCGCGGGAGCGCCGGGTGAGGATGGCAGGCGCTGATTGGTCGAGACCAAACATTCCACCCAGCACCCGTACAAAATATTGAGGGAGGCGTGTCACACTCGCCCTCCATGAGCGGACGAGCTGTCTCTGCTGTCTGTTCCCTCTGCCTCTTCTATTTCCCCACAGTAGGCCAGGCGAGAAGGGAACTTACCGGAACAACTTGCCAGCAGAGAATCGTCGCCGCACGAGGGAACTCTTGCTTCACATCGCGTGGTTGTGTGGCATTCCGTGGTTCCGTAAGCGCACGTGCAGCCCCAGTCACCATTCCACCCAAACGACAATCCTACTCCGCAGGCTGGCTGTGTAAATAGCGTAGAAGTCTCTGGCAGATCGGGTACGAGGGTTCGCGATCATTCCACTGCCATTCGTCGCTTTCCAACTTTATCGGTGAGTCGTAGTCCTACGCATACGTGCGGGAGTGTTGGGTAGCAAAATACGGGCGCGGGGGGGATCGTAGTAATTCCTCTGAGAAATCCAGGAAACGCCTGCATGTGTCAGTTTTCCAATTCTAACTCCAGTTTGTTGGATATCAGCTTTTATTTGAGGACATAAACGCAGTAGTATTTTAGAAAGCTCACGAACGCATGCAGGATACCATGAGGATTGTCATTGGTTTTATTTCAAATTGACGAGGAGATATTTTTACGATGGAAGTGACAGTAGAAATAAGTCCTACATATGTTGTTGTACTTCGTATTGGCTTAATATTCATTCATGTAGAGTATGAGACATTAAGTGAAAGTTTTCTGAGGTACATCTGCAATTAATTGTCGGAAGGCAAAAAAAAAAAAAAATCTAACTCCAGTACGAAACTACGACCGAAAACTAGCCGTCCGCCGCGGTCTTTGTGTACAATGCTAGTGTCTGGGTTTGAGCAGTCTTCGATTTTCCACATGATCTTCCTATCATCGAGATCGGTGAGCTACGAGCAGGAGTTTTTAAGCTGCAGTGTGGTCTTTGAAGACAATAACGGCGAATCAACGCGACGAGTATCGACGGTGTTGCCTGTCTGAAGCTGTTTGTTAGCGGGTTGAATTTGCTGCTGGCTGAGTGTACTATAATACGTTGTTGACAGATCACGATCCGACGGCGGATGAAAGTGAAAAATGAAAGGACAAATGCTCGTGGAACAAGATGCATAACAAGGTGGTCACGGCGCAACACTAGTATGATGATCCCATTGCCAATCAACCGCGAACTCCTACCTGTTGAAGAGAAAGGTTGTGGTGCTGGAGAAATTCGCCGGTCACCGTTCGCGGTTGTGGAGACATTGTAAACAGTCGTCCCGGTCGCAGCTCAGTAAGTCAGTCACACACATACAGCTTCTTAACGTGGCCACAGGCCAAGTACCAAACGAAGTATATTTCTGAAAAATGCACTTGCTATGAGCCAAAAAGTAAACACCGGACAAGGCATGAAAACTACACAACAAAAGGGTGAACTTCTGTGCTGATGTTGATGCCGTGCACACGCAATTTTCATATTTCACAATTTTGTTGACATGGACTTTCACAACGAATGAATTCAATCATCATTATCCCTCGATGAGATTCGGCAATTTTAGAAAGGGCATTCAACAAGATGGCAATCAATGAGTAACAGAGACAGACAGGAAGACGGCGAACCGTGAAGAAAAATAGCGCGCACGGTCGCGCACGGTCGCACAGCTCGGGAGTATGCACCATGGCGGCGCATCGGCGCACCGTATGAGCTTTTGTGTAAACATGACACATTGGCTCTATGGTAGGTCGCGTCGGAAACTCACTCGGCACACATATATTTTCACTACTGAACAACCTCCGGAAATGAACATGATGCCGTGGTTGCTGCCACGCCGACCTCGAGATTCGAAAAGCAAAAACGAGCGATTAAGACAGGGGAAGAAGGCGAACCGTTCAAGACGACCGAATCAAGCGCACATGGTCGCGCACTTCTGGCACAACATGGAACTTGCTTACTCGTCGACTCACCGAATGCGCTTTCGTCGTGTCAGGTTCTTGGGACGATGTCGCGTTGGAAAACCCCTCAGCCCACATACATACATGTTCATATACCAACCCACCACCTGAAATGAACATTTTGCCGCTGAGGTGCCTAGCAGGCTTTGGGATTCGATTTTAGCCGTTGGCAATGAACGTCCGAGAAGCGAAAACAGAGTGATGACAGGAAGATAGCGGACGAACGTTCACGAGGGCCGAAGCAACGCGCATGGTCGCACACTTCTGGAGCAACATGTCGCGAGACGTGCGCCATAGATCGAGATCAGTCATTGAGCCACTGTCTGACAAAGGTGGGGGAATCGGAACAAGAGGGTCCAAAAAATGGTCGGAGACGTTGGAGGTACCAGCTTCTGAGTATATACCGGAGGAAAAGTGAGATTCATTTATCGAATTTTCAAGAAGCTAAGGGGGCGAATAGGCTCACCGGCCAACAACTTGATATAGAAGTACGAGGAGAGGAGAGATTAATTATTTTCCGAAATATTTCACATTGTTCCAATGATCAATAGACGAGTGACAGCAAGACCGCGAAGTGGTAACAACGAGGAAATGCATGGTCGCACGCATAATGTGTCTGCCGCTGCCCGCGGACGGGGGCGAACTTCGGCGGGGGGGCATGACTTGCGATGTGCCCTATCGGGGAATAGACTACTCAAGATACGCGAAACGTGCGCCGTGCTGTGGTACATAGTCATAGGTCGATATCGGTCTGTTGATTTCTGCCACACAAGCTGACCTTGAGATTCGAATCTACCAAACAGAGCGATGAGGACAGCAAGACGGCGAACCAGTGAAGACGAGAGAGAAACAACGCGTATGGTCGTATGCATACATGGCTGTACACTTGTGACCTACGCTACTGCATCCGGAAGTCGATCAAACTTGGCGACTGGCCATGATTTGGGATGCCCTATCGAGGCATTGTCAAGATGTCACGAGCCGTGCGCCATGGGTCGAGATCGGCTTTTGAAACGCGCTCGGGCAAGGATGGGGGAATCGGAAAACGAGGCCCGGTCGGTCTGCGACAAATGAATTTAGGTCGGAGAGACTGAGGGTTACAGCTTCAGAATGCTTGATTTCGTGTATAGATTGCCTGAAGCCACACCAACCCGTGTTGTACTGCAGATCGAAGAGAAGTCACAGTGTATGGTGAATGGGGTAGGTCTTCGCAAAAAGGTCGCGATCGTGAATAGACGGTGGAGACGCTTCGGGTGTTGGCTTGTCCCGGCGAATCGTTTATTAGCTCGATGTTGAGAACCACGCGATGCCATATGTTGGAGACCTTTGTTATGCACCGAATACCCGCGACCAGGACCACAGGGGGTATACGGAAAAACGTTTTTACGAAATGCTCTTGTTGGCGCTCGGAAGTACCGCGCCCCATAAGAGGAAGGTGCTGGAACCGTCGTTAACCCGCTCTTTGTCCGTAAATGAAGCACTAACCAGCACCCGTCACCTTGACTTGTTTCTTCCGGACCTGGGCAGTCTTCTGTCGTTACGTGTTTGCTTGTTGGAGGGCCAGACAACATGCGTCCGGTGGTGCATCAAGGTGGCATACCACTTTATTGTCGGCCATCCGCACGGTGCCTTGTCCTCCTCGACGGGAAAAAAATGAAACCGATGAGTACTCATTTTCATTCCATTCACAACATTCTCAAGCCTAGATTATTTTCGGCGGTTTTCTGATGAAGAGTCACGCGGGGTCCGCGAGTGGGTCGATCTCCATCGTCTGAACACTGTGTTGCCAGGTACCGCCTTGGCAACCTGGAACGCCCAAAAATTGAGAGTTTAGTTGAAGCAGCATAAGCTCTACGAAAGAACTCTTAGCTGGAATGAACAGATCGTCTTCAACTGTTTCCGTCCACAGCATAGTCCACAACCCTTCAGAGAGATACCCTACATCGACGAGCGTCATTTTCTTTCTAACTCGACGGTTGTTCCCTAGAAAACACTGGATGAGACGGAAACGTGTTGAATCCCTCCCGCGACATGAGGTAATGGTGCTATCCCCACGGCAACCTCATCGAAATGGCGTTGAGAGCTGACACGTCCATAGAATTTGCCGAAAGTACGTGTACCCAGGCCAAGCGAAAAGGGACATGCAGTAGATGCTCGTACACGTGCGATGGAGTCTCCTAACTCGAGTGCTGCTCATATTCTACAGTTGAGTAGTACGCATTGCGAAAGAACGAAGCACCTGTAAGGTCCCTTCTTCATGCCACAGGAACTGCCACTAACCAAGATGCAACATGATCAAGATAGGTCACAATCGATCGGGACCCGACCACTCCAGGTCATCACCACCCTCCATGCAGCCAGATCAACAATTCTTGTTTTCCACAAAACACAACGCATTTATCATGGGCTCAAACTTGCCGCTGCAGCGCACACAAGAATATTTCAGAAACACGTCTTCTACGATGCGTACGCACTCATACAGCGCCGTGACAATAAAAGCAACCCGAGAGAATCTCGTAAAATGTCATTCCCACAGCGTTCCCACAAACGTCGACTAAATGCAACGATAACGCAAGACGAAAACACTCATGACACGCATGGACCTCATAAGGACGCCACTCCGACTGGACTCTCCTCTTACCCCGTTTGATACCATCACATCTATTTTTTGCACACAGCGACACATGAAAACTTGAAGGGGCGAACCATGCAGCTTGCCGCACAAAGCCGTTCAGTCTCAAAAGCCTGCACCCGGCATGGGAAACCAGGCTCGGCCACAGAACGTGCACGTCATGCCGTTATCACGCCCTCACCGAGCGGTTACACGGCCTCACTCAAAAACATGACGGAACGGAGGGTTACTCCCCGATATTATTGTCGTTGGCCCAGTAGATGGAAGAAGACTACCGGGAGGTGCGAACTTGAACCTACGCTGTGTTTTTTTGTGATAGGCACCTGCTGGCATAACTGAATCAGTGTTGGGGCTTAGACCTAAATACGCCCAATATGTAGCCGGTTTCTTCCAACTCACTGCAAAGACTTCAACTCATCCCCTTCACCTGTGATACTATCCCGAACGGATAGTCTACATGAATGCATTCAATGCTACAAGCACTTCGCGGCTGCTGTGTGGAACGAACGTCGGCAGCTAACCCTAGCTCAAATAGAGGCCACCGGGGAGACCAACACGAACACGATGCGTCGGGAGCCGTCGAACTCGTCCGGCTGAGAAAAGTAGCGAAGCATCGTCCAGGCGAGGAGCAGCAGTCGGAACAACGCGGTGGGTGGGTTACGTTCAGCACGGACATCTTCGCAGGTGGGACAAAACATGCAACAAGAATATCACCGGGAAACCAGGCACGTTCCAGTACACACGCGAAGAAGCGCACGTTTATACGGAACCAAATAATCTGTACGACAGTCCTTGCCACGCCATGGCCCTCACCGCAAGCCCCCCCGGCGTAGTATCAGCGTTCGCACTTAGTGGTCGTCGCTGCTGCTGTCTTCAGAGTCGTCCGAGACGTCATCACAGACGTTGCCGGTGGGCCCGTCGTAACGGTCGGCGTTCATCACCGCGGTCCAGGCCGAAGCGAACTCTTTGAGGAACTGGTCGTTGTCCTCAGCGTACATGACCGTCTGGGCCTTGAACTCCGGGTCCCAGACAAGGGCGAGGTCGGTCGCCAGAACGTACACGCCGGACTTCCCGACGGCCTGGTACTCCTGTCCGTCGGACCCGGGTACCTCCTCCCAGGTCTCGGTGAGGAGGGTCACGTAGAAGGCGTTGGAGAGGGCCGGGGGCTCGTCGCTCGTGTAGGACCCGCTGAAGCCGAGGGTGATCATGTGCGAGGCGCTGCGGGGGCGGCCGGCGAGGGCCACCATCTGCGCGACCGATAGGCCCCTGATCTTCATGNTGAAGCCGAGGGTGATCATGTGCGAGGCGCTGCGGGGGCGGCCGGCGAGGGCCACCATCTGCGCGACCGATAGGCCCCTGATCCTCATGCGGTCGTGCACGCCCACGATCACGTCGTCGTACTCGCGGGGCTCGAGGACCGAGATGAGGTCGTCACCCTCGGTGGCGTCCACGCGGCCCGCGCAGAACAACAGGTCGATGTCGAGAGCGAGGTTTCCCGCGAGCACGATCAGGTCGGCGTAGGACACATCCTGGTAGTCGTCTTTCACCGGCGAGAGCAGGCTCAGAATCTATCCACAGCGATTGATGGGCGCGACAGGGACAGGGAGGGGCACCGTGAGGAGGAGCGAAGTTGGGGACATACGCATACTGCGATCGGCTTCGTGTTGTGCCAAGCTTGCCTATCGCGCATGTCATAGGTATTAATATTGGCTCAGCGGGACCGTGTTTGCTAGACAAAGCGACGTCAGGAGGTAATGAAGCCCATAGTCACCATACTGCTGCTGTAGATACACCAAAGAAGTAAGGCAGATAACACAGATTATCCACACCGATACGCCCGGTGGCAGCACCAACAATCGCAGTCGAACCGTCTTCGTACAGAAGGCCTTTCCAACGTCAGCAAACACAAAACATCCATGTGCCATCGACTCTTACACCTCTCGCCTGGTCGAGGCCCTGGTTTCCGGCCCAGTCCTTCTCGGGAGAGAAGCGGATCCTCGCCCCATTGCAGCCGCCCAAGTAGTCGGTCGAGCGGAAGGTGGACGCGCACTGCCAGGCCAGGGTGACGAAGAGGGCGGGGTAGGACGGGTCGCTGGACAGGATACTCTGGATCGCCGACTTGGCCCCTTCGGTGTCGGGGAGGTCGGTGGGCGCCTCCGGCAGCGGCAGCTGGAAGTCCTGAGGCGGCGCCACGTCGGTGCCCACGCAGCGCTGGAACTGGCCCATGTCGCGAGAGGTGAGCTTGTACCAAGCCGCGGCGAAGGCGGTGTCAAGGTAGGCCTGGTCACTGGCGAAGAGTTCGCAAAGGGCGAGGTACTCCGGGTCCTGCGCGGGCAGTGGGCGACAGCATGGCACGGATGGAGACCTGTGTTTATTTCTCGGCTCGACCCATCATTTGTCTGTCGTACGTTGTGGACTACGGCATTGTAGTGTGGAGTCTTTTGACTGATGCTGCTATTTTCCTGACGGGCGATGTTGAATACATGGAAACAGTTATGTATAGTCACACGTCTGGAGTCGAAGCGTCTGAACGTCAAGAGAAAACTGCGAAATAGTTCGTGGAGCTTATACTCAGCACTTGTAGTATCGCAAACAAGGCTCTGAACACCATCGAGGGAAACGACAAAGTCCTTACTTCGTAGTTCTCAACGGCGGAGCTCTCGTACTATCTCGGTACGCCGTTCGACACTCTACGTAGGCCGTTCGGCAGTGTGTTGAGCGTTCAGGATTTTCGCAGGCGACAAAACAAAGCACCCGACGCTTTCGATCTCACAAACAACAAGGCGACGTCGCTGGTGAGCATGATGATGTCGGGGATCTCGTCCTCCGTCTCGGTAGCCCCCTCCTTCAGGACCGGGAACCACTGCACCAGGTCGGCGGGGCTTTCCGTCATCACCCAGTCGTACTCGAGCAGGTCCTTGAAGTACTGGTTGTCCCACACCAGGGGCTCCACCGTCCATTGGCCCTCAAACCCGCTCGTGAAGGTGTTCTCGGCGCGGCCGAAGGTCGCGGAGTCGACGTCGCCGCACGTTCCCGGCCAGGGGGCTTCGGGGGCGTCGATCGGGTCGGCGCCGGGCCCGGTGTCACATGCGCCGTGTAACTTTCCTGTCAGGAGCCGACGGGGGCATCGTGCACACAACGGATGAGAGACGAAAAGTTCGGCGATGCGAGGGCAGACACAGCGAAGCATCGTCAAAGAGGAAGAGCAGTTATTGCTTTGGGCAGCGGAGATCTGTCTCTTGGGTAGGTTGGAGAGGGGCGCGGAATGTCGTTTTTTTGAGAGTTTGGGAAACGATGGACTCTGAACGAAAGATGGTGACGACATGTTCGGGAGGGGGGCCTACAGCCAAATTGACGTGCAACGCAGGCACGAGTCGCCCGGACATGGTCGTGAGCGGTTACCCGTGTACGCGCATATGTGTCTAGACGCCGAGGCGCTTCTACAGACAGTAGAACGGACTTGAGTGAAGCCAGCGCTTCAGGTAGGGAGGGAAATATATATATATATATATATTTTTCGGAGATATATGCGTGAGTTAGTTTTAGTTACAGATTAGAATGAAAGAGAATATAATCGAACCGTGTCAGTCCAGATCGAACCGTATCAAAAAAAGTTAAAACTTGGAACCGTACCAATACTTGATACGGTTCCAAGTTTGAACCGTATCAATTATTGGTTCGACATGATTACAAGTTGGTTCGCAAGACCGAACCCAATAAAAATCACGATGGATCATCGGATCTAGTCAAAAAAAAAAGTTCTTTAGCTAGCGATTTATGATGAGCGAACCAAATAGGTTCGATCAGACAGGCAGAGGGAACCGATGGTGAGGTCTAGATCAAGACATGTTACACACGAATTATGATCCGAAACAAGTGAACTAAAAAAGGATATTAGGCGGCGACAGGGAGGGAGGCTTTGGATTTCGTCAACAAACGAAAGAAGGGGTTTCATATCAGTTTCGTTTACAAACGGTACGTATTTAACATTAAAATATTGGTCTAACAATCAGAGAGAAAACCCCTTCTTTCGTTTGTCGACGAAATTCAAAGCATGGACGTCAGCCGTCAGAGCTTTTGAAATCAATTAATGTATTCATCGAACCCTCAGATTCAAACTTACGATCAAAGGCAGTTATTAGGGAGAGGAGGCGAAGAAGGAGCTCCCATTCTTGACGAACTTTCGATCGAGAGTTGCAGGCCACCAGGTGCAAGACGCCGTAACGTAGTAGGCTTCGAGTACGACGCTGATTTAAGCGACAGGCCACACGCCGTGTACCACCACAAGGCAACCAAAAGAGTAGTTCTTGCTAATCGCGGCACTGACGTGTCAAGCGGGCGCGATCTTTACTCGGACGCTACGCTCACAACAGGAGCCTTCAAAAAGACGGCTCATTACAAGAACTCAGTCTCTAAGTACAAGGAGGTACAAGCGAAATACGGCAAGGAAAAAAGTTATCATTTGGCGGGTCGTAGTCTTGCGGGATTTAATCATTTAGCATTACATCATCGGTTTCCTCATAGTACCTCTTCAAACACCAGTTTCAAACACCAGTTTCAATCCGCCCGGATCAATCCCCAGGACTTGCAAGTAGTGCTATTCAGAAGTTGGGTTACAAAACAAGAACCCAAAGGAAGGTTCAACAGAACCGTCAGAGCTTTGTAAATACTCTTGACCCCGTAGTCTATTATCGAGACAAAGGAAAGGGCTCAAGAACCAGAAAAAGGTTTCACTGAATCCACACAGCCTAACGCAGTGGCAAGGATTCTGATCACAGGGAACCGTTGAACACTTTTGGTTTCAAATTTCATAATAATGAGATTATAGAAGTATTATGTATCCTTACTAACAAGTAATAAGACATGCCCGCACAGAAACGCAAGGCGACAACCACTAATGGTTCATCGGGCAAGAGGTCAAAGAATAGACTACAAGGAGTCGGAAGACTTCCACTCTCATGACGAAAACAAAGGTATCCCCTGATGTTAGTCGTTATTTCCAAATCCTAAAGGACCCTGTTGGTGGAAATTTTGCACCCACTTGCTATCCTGATCAGTTCAGGGGGCTCAGTGTGCCTGTTTGTCTCAAATCAAGCTTCTATGTGCCTTCAAACGCTGACAACAGCGCAGGTGCAGTGTCGATACGACCTTCCCTTTCGAACTTTCGACAATCGATAGACAGCACTGGTATTTTCGAAAACCTCGTTTGGGGATCGTACACAGACCACCCAGAGTACGAAACAGGTCTCAATTTAAGCACAACAGCTGTTCGTTACCGTCCCCTAGTAATGGGCGTGCGCGTATTGTCGACTGTTAGGAATGATGAAGTAGAGGGTAGAATAAATTATCTCGTGAGCAACGAAGCTATCTCCCTTACCAACGGAAACGATCTAAGCGATGCCCAAGCCCACATTGGGTCGGTTACGCTTACTAAAAAGCCTAAAACGATTGTACTTAGAAGCTTCGATCGCCCGCACTTTCTAACAGACAGTTCGGTGCCGGCAGAATATGCCAACAGGCTATATCTTGCATACCCAAATGACAGGCGAAGCGTTCTCGTTGAAACCGTTCTCTACTGCGAACTCATAGTCAAGCCCGACGGTGCTCTTTCGGAGATGGCACGACCATCCACAATATCAGCTCGTGATGTGGGTACTCTATGGTAACCACGACGGTCATGGACTCTTTATTGTCACAATTCAGTAATAACAATATCAAAAAGTTTTAAATAGAAATCATATTTCATCAAATTGGATTACTTCAAAACATCTTCAATTCTCATAACAATGAGATTCATGTAGCAAACCGAAAGCAATTTTTACGTCTTTTAAAGGACCTTGAAAACGAAATTACCGACGAGGGAACTCCTACTTCGGAACGACAAAATCATTGGCATAAAACAAACCTTTAACTCATCATCTGCCACATAAACGCAAAAATCGTAATAATAGATTTCAGACAGGACAAAGAAGCCATTCGTCATTTAGATGACATGTACCATATCATATCAAGTATAAAACATACAAATAAATCCCCTTCTTTCGTTTGTTGACGAAATGCAAAGCCTTCCCTGTCGCATGCAATTAGCACACATCTTACACAACTTGAATCCGTAAGGGGGACCGGGCATACCCATACACCATTAGGAACATAGGTCCCCGTTAGACGTGGGGAAGGGCCCCTACTTCCGGGGACAAATCGTTCCTTTATGGTTAGCCAGGGTGGTCTTCCCCTGCCGGATCGAAACGTACTGAGCAAACCACAGTTCGGTGGTATATGGCACGTTGTCGCCTCTGACAAGGTCAACCCACAGTGGAAACTACGTTAACCCACCGAAGGCGTGCCCTCCACCGATGAGAGCCACTGTCTCGCTGTCGTTCATGCCCATCCGCCCGAAGATATCCCGAATGCTTTCAGCGCTGCCCGCGGGGTCTGGAACGCCGGAGGGCCCCTCGGGGTTCACTGGGGTACATCCAAACAATTGCAGTAAGGGGTTCAAATGGGGAGGTACATTGGAGTGATTATGCGTCAGAAACGTGATATTGTTGTCGACATTAACAAAAACGCTACGGTCTCCGCTCCGTAGATTCCATTGTCCGTACGGGCCCAACTGATGCGGACGCCTTCCGAGGTTGTACGTGGTTCTACGACGGTCATAAGGAATGGTTGACTCGTCAATAGTACTGAACAATACCCGAGCTAAGGCTATCTAGCTTGGCTGGCGGACGGAGATATGATCGTGAGTCCTCGGGAGTGTCGCGAGATCGGGGCCCCGCGTGTTTGACGCCGTCGAAATCATGAAATCGTGTGTTATGGTACACGTCGCTGAAGGGGGGGCAAGCTCCAACACTTGCTCTAGGTTGTTGGGGTAAGTGCCTTCAAAAGCCAAACCAACCTTGAAGGCTTCTGGTGTGTTGGAGCTTTGCGGCTTTAATATATCACCAACTATTGCCACAAAAAACGAATTACAGGAGTAGACTGCTCACCGTAGATCAAGCCCACCGTGCTGGTGCCAAGAGGGGCTTCGCAAGTCCCGTTCACGGCGCAAGGAGCGACGGCCTCCTGCTCGTCAGAGGGGCCCAGCGCGAGGCTGTCCACGCCGTTGGCATCATCAAGCCTTCCGGCGCAGAACCCCAGCACGGGCCCGCCCATCGACCGGATCGCCTCGTTCCCCGTCAGGGTGATGAGGTCTCCCCACGAGACGGCGTCGCCGTACTTGAGCTTGACGGGCTGCAGGAGCGTCAGCGCCTTGTCCAGGTTGATGTTATCCGCCCAGCTGCGTTCCGGGTTGAAGCGGATCCGGCCACCGTCGCAGCCGCCGCGGCCGTCCGACTGGCGGTAGGTGCCGCTGCAGTGCCAGGCGAGGCGGATCATCAGGGGAGCGTAGTTGCCGAAGTCGGCCGGCCAGAACTCCATGGAGTTGGTGAACATGGCCGTGATGTCCTCTTGAAGAGCCTCGTAGGTCTCGCGGGAGAAGTCCGCCCCTCCGTAGTAGCTGCTGTCATCCTCGTAGGACCCCAGAGCACGGTCCACGCTGGGGTTCAGGTCGGCTTGCGAGCCCTGTGGAGCGTGGGTACGGGAGGGCAGGGCGGAGAGGCGGTTGGAGGTTGGAGGGAGGTGCACACACAACGTTGTCCAGTGTATTTTACCGGGAAGCCTGGTGAAAGATTCGGTGTGATAATCCCCGTTGATGTGCGACGATTCGACGCTCGAGGCATTTTGCCCGATCCAAAACAGAACGGGCAAAGCACCTGCGCCCCACCACTACAGCGTGACAGAGCGAACGAATGGCACGAAAAACACTTTCCCCCAGCAAGTAAGTAACGTGGGTTGAAAATAGCAGTAGCAACGCCGAAACGACACGCTACGGCAGTTCCCGATGATTTCTCATTTGACCCAAACTTGTTCAGTTTCCCGCCGCCCACAGCTGGAGTAAACGAAAAGCACACAAAAAACAAACTCGTAGTTTCTACATCGAGGGTATGCGTCCGTCCGCACTACACGCATGATAATACCTTACCTTTTCGCCAGAGAGGAACGGGCAGCCGGCAGATGCAGGCGAAGCGATGAACGCCAACGCGGCCAGGACCCCGAGCTTACACTTGTGACGCATGATGGCAAGCCGACGGTGATATGAGTTTGCGCTGTTTTTGAAGGCCGGCGCGACAACACGAAAACAAGGTCAAGACTTTTCGGAATACTTCACTGAGACCGCGCGAGAGAGAAGCTGACACTTTGTGGTTGAACACTGGAAAGGAACCTCAACGGAATTGTATTGAGAGCAATGGCAAGCACCGCATGAGGAAGGAGGAGAGAGAAAAAACACTCATGTGTGTGATTGGCTTTCCTCCTGTGTGACCCCCGCTGATTCATCCAGAAAAGGTGACGAAATGTGTTGAAACTGATGATCGCAATAGAGCGGGCGCCCCCCACACATATAAATCGATCAAGGAGGCAGAGATAGCGCGGAAGAAGAAACAGGAGTTTTGAGCCAGCCACATGACCTCCGTACAACAAACGCCGGCGGCAAGGCCTACGGAAGAACGTTCTGTTTTCAGCCGCACCGAGAAGTCAGTCGGTTTCTGCGGTTGATGCTAACAATGTATAACAAATCCTCGACGAACATCGCACTAGCCAAGGGGCTTATCGAAAAGTATTTTCACGGACTTGGAAGAATACTGTTAATACTTGAAAACTGTATAGCTAGTCTAGGAGAGAATTCTCCCATGTCTACGAGATCAGCTATGTCTATCAACGGTCGACATCATCATTCCCAGCAACATTTTTTCCCTCTGAAAACCGCGGCGGGGGTGGTCCCGAACAGGTGTAAACTAGCCGAGAGGCTTCGGCGCAAGATGTCACAGTCAGTCTCGTTTGGATCTTGGGGTTGGATCTACTGCTGTGATTNTCCCAGCAACATTTTTTCCCTCTGAAAACCGCGGCGGGGGTGGTCCCGAAGAGGTGTAAACTAGCCGAGAGGAATCGGCGCAAGATGTCACAGTCTCGTTTGGATCTTGGGGTTGGATCTACTGCTGTGATGGTTGGTGTCATTACGCACATAATCGGTGAGTACTGGGGCCTGCAGCCCGCAGTGGCAAAAGGCCGAATGTTCCAAGGGTATACTCGGTAACGTTTTTTTTTCGGGCAGGTGTCCGGCGGTATTGCCATTGGGCGGTAATTGTATTGGCTGAAGGCTGTAGTGCGTTTTTCGCCGGTAACGACTTTGGCGGAAGCGGTAGCACCAACTGTTGGCGGTAATATTTCGGCGGTATTGCCATACGGCGGTATTTGTTTCAACGGCAGGTGGGAAATACGAAAGGCGGTAACAAATCTGGCGGAGGGGTTAAAGCAGAATTTTGGCGGAAAATTTTCGGCGGTAGGTGGTAACGAATTCGGTGGAGACGGTAGTACCACAGAATGGCGGGAACATGGCGGATTACCGGGACCGCCCACACCACGGCGGTAATTTCACGGCGGCATGATTGCCATTGCCATACGGTCACAAATTCAAGCGACACTAAACAAGGCGGCAATTGCGGTCCAAAGTTCCCGCGCCCGAACCATGTACTTCCTCCATTGTCGGTTTTCACCAGCGAGTTTCACAGTTTTAGAGTCAACTCGACGAAGAAACAAGTGCGCGCCTCCTCGTCTCCCTGCCCACTCAATGTATTCAATAGTTCTTCCGAAAACGAACCAGAACCAAACTCCAGAACCAAAGAACACATCTTAAAATGAGAAAAAAAACTGATACGTCCCAGTAGGGACATTAGAAAGTGCTGCGAGGAGACGGGAACGGTTTTGTATTTGAAAATAGCAACAACAACAACAACGTCCGCACGTGGGCCCGAGCTCCTGAATTCACATTGTGTTGTACCTACAGCAGTCGAGACTAGACCTCTACTCACCCAGCCAAACCTTCGGCGGTAGCCGACCTATATGATGGAAAATTTTCGGCGGTAATGCCGCCTGGCGGTAATGCTTCGGCGGTATTGACGCATGGCGGTATTTATTTGGGCGTTAGGCGGTGATGCGTTTTTTGGTGATAACGACCTTGGCGGGGGCGAAAAAAAAACATATTTTTGGCGGTCATCTTTCGGCGGTGACGCCACACGGCGGTAATTGTTTAGGCGGTAGGCGGTAACGCGTTTTTCGGCGTAAACGCTTTCGGCGGAAAAAACGAAAGTGGCGGGAAAACGGCGGGTTACCGGGAGCGCCCACGACGACGGTAATTTCACGTCGGAAAAATCACCTAGTAAACACTCGGAATCTTGTGATGTTCTTGGTGCGGGACATTGTTTTTGCGGAAAAGAAATGGTGACCGGGGCAAGCGACAGAATACGTGAAACCTGACCCGAGGCTGCCGCTTTTGTCGTATTCCCCTTCGTAGTTGCAAGAAAACGATACCTGGGTGGTCGTGACCAAGAAGTCTGCGGCCTGCGGGCGAATCCCGGCGTCGATGCCTTGTGTACCATTAAGTCACAAGTACAATACTTGTTCTGTGTTGTTTTTTACCGATGGAAATGCATGTGCGTACAATATATGTATGTTGACAGAGAGGGTGTGATGAGATCTCCTGTTTATACATACTTCGAAGCAGGCAGCAGTCCCCCTCCCTGCTGTACTTGCCCATCGCCAGCCCCCAAACTGTTGGGCACTGCGCCATCTGGTGGGCGGGTGCAGAGCGCATCTCGGCGAACACGCAGGCGGAGCAGATCTACTGAAAGATGGCATACAGTGTACCGAAACCATCGGGGTCTTGGCACGTATCTGGGTCTCGGCACATATCGGGGTCTTGGCACAGGGTATGCGGAAAAAAAGCGGGTTCCGAATGATTTGCTGGACTATCGCACAGGTATCGTCGTCTCCGCGCACTGTGCGGAGACGCCGATATGTTCGGTGAGGTTTGGCGGTAAGTGATACCCTTTCACCAGCATATTGTGCTCAAAATTCCGGATACTGTGGGAGCTTGAATCGCGTGCTCCACAGCTACTGCTGCCCTTGGCACCATGACGATGTTCAAAATGTGGTATGTGCGTTCTCGTCTTTTCGTTCTGAAGAATCAAGATCTGCAAATCGGCAAACGGCATCCACTCAACAACTCTAAATTAATTGAAATTTTTCTGAGTNTTTCACCAGCATATTGTGCTCGAAATTCCGGATACTGTGGGAGCTTGAATCGCGTGCTCCACAGCTACTGCTGCCCTTGGCACCATGACGATGTTCAAAATGTGGTATGTGCGTTCTCGTCTTTTCGTTCTGAAGAATCAAGATCTGCAAATCGGCAAACGGCATCCACTCAACAACTCTAAATTAATTGAAAGTTTTCTGAGGTACATCTGCAATTGTCGGAAGGCAAAAAAACAAAAATCTAAACGCAGATGAAACCTAAAACGAAGTAATAAATCACACCAAACTACCACTACGAGCTACCAACGTCCTACTACTGTATTACCTAGGCGGGTTGAACTCTACTNTACATCTGCAATTGTCGGAAGGCAAAAAAACAAAAATCTAAACGCAGATGAAACCTAAAACGAAGTAATAAATCACACCAAACTACCACTACGAGCTACCAACGTCCTACTACTGTATTACCTAGGCGGGTTGAACTCTACTTCGTGCCCGCGCCCCTACCATCGCAAACACATCCAATCTCACTGGCAATCCCAAAGAACTATGATTCAAACTTCGATTACTTCTCCTTCGGAGACCCCCCCTCCTGCCCCTCCACGACTTCCACGTCGCTGTCGCCCTCCACGACCTCCACCTCGCTGTCGCTCCCATCAGCGACGTAGGCAGCAACTTCCCCTCGACCTCCTTCTGAGCAGCCGTGATGGGGTTGGAGTCGAACCCCCCTGGTACCTTCGGCAGCTTGAGCGGCGGGAGAGTCACATTGGGGTGCTCAGCGAGCCACACGGCGTGCTGCTCCTCGAGAAGGTCGCGGTAGTCTTCCCCGAAGTTGTGCGCGCACCAGGCGTGGTCTTCGCTGCCGTCGAGCGCGAGCGTGAGACCACAGATCTTAAAGCAAGTCTTCACCGTCTCGGGGGTGATGGACTCCCACTCTTCCTTGCACCACGTAGAGACGATCCCACGCTCCGGTGGCTTCAGCTTACCCGACCGGGCGTCTGCGACCGCCGACGAGCTGTAGGCGGTGTGCTTGCCCCGCAGCAGCCGCTTCATCTGCTTGTTGAGGTCGAGCGGTTGGAGTAAGGGCGTCAACCCGCCTGGGATGAAGATGACGATGGTGTTGGCGTCTCTCTTGAGGGCGGCGATGAAACCCTCGTCCTTGTGGCACTTGAAGTCGTCCAGCACCAGGATGCACGGGCGCTGCTGGACGATGCTGCCGTTGTTGGGACGGAGCTTCCAGCTGCCCGAGGTCCACCCGTTGCACTCCCGCTGGTCACTCCAGCTCTTCTCCTGCACGCCGAAGGACATGCCGTTGGCAGGGTGGCCGTGCTTGGCGCGGTTCGCAGGATGGATCTCCCACGCGACGGAGTTCTTCCGCGGCAGGGTGCTCTTCCCATTGCCGCTCACGGTTGGGGAGGTGAACGGCGTGCCCTTGAAGATGATGCGCGGTGAAACCTTTTTGCCGTCCGCCATGACAGCCAGAACGAGCATGAAGCGTTCCTCCTCTTTGCCTGAGGGGAGTGGGAAAAAATCAACGCGAGGGGAGTGGGGGCGGGAGTAGAGTGTTGAATATTTCTGAGAGGACGGGGGTGTGTGGTTGATACAATGGACGCAAACGGTACCGGACGTTTCGAAAACTAAGTTGGTTGATAGTTTGGATGTCTCGAGCAGCTTGTTCATCACCTCCCGATTACCACAACCGTGGTGCTGCTTGCGCTGCTCGTTGATGTAGTCCACACTAGGGCTTGTTCGGCGTCGACTGTCGAAGCTTTCCCTCAGCTGTGAACCTGCTTGGCCTTCGAAAGCTTGGGGTTGGCGCTGACCTTCTCTCTGAGCTGCTCCTCCTGCGNCAGAGGAAGGACCGCCAGCACTAGCCTGTGAGGCCTGTGAGGCCTGTGAGTCGTCGGCAGGTCCCGCGCTTGCACCCTCCGATATCGTAGCCGCGCGTTGCGTGTGGTCGAGCCCGCAGCTCCGTCTCGGGCATTTTCCCGATTTTCCGCCGGTATTTCTTCGCCACGGAACTGTTGTGGTGGCAATTCCCCGAGACTCATTTGTGTGTGCAGCTACTAGCTTGCCTGTTGGTTGTGTTGTGATCGTGTTGCAGTAATACCATACACGCGAAGTGCTGCTATCCCCTGTGGTTTTCAATCTTAGGATCGCACATATCGGAGTCTTGGCACAGGGGTGTGCGTTCGAAAGTCGCCGTACCAGCCGCAGTGGATTTAAACATCACCGCACATATCGGGGTCTTGGCACAGGGGTGTGCGTTGTTTCTTAGAACCAAAATATTTACTGCATTCCCGCACAGGTATCGCGAACTTGGCACATATCGACGTCTTCGCACACCTGTGCGAAAAAAGTCTGAAGTTCGAAACATGCAAAAAAGCGACCGCACAGTGTGCCAAGACCCCGATGATCTCGGTAGTCTACAGTTGATTTGTTTCCGGATCTGGGTTGGCGTAGTTCAACGTCAACATTGGGCAGCAACAGGGCGTTCCGGGCTCTCCCTGCGTACAAATCACATCTGCAGCAATGTTCTTCGGTGCCTGAACGGAGAAGCCAGAACGTCCTGGCCTTCTAGTCACAGCCCCGGCGTCCCGTTTTTTTTCTCTCTCAATCTCGATATTTCTCCATATTGTCCATGTCTACTCATGCCTAGACTATGCCTACAGAAAGGGGGGATGAAGGAGAAACGTTCGTACCGTGCACCATTCACCGTCCAAACAAATGTCATTTACCATCCGGGAGGACGGGAGCACGGGCGGACCTAAATCGACCGAACTTTTTTCCCCTTTGGATCCTGCGTTCAAGCAGAGATCCAAGCAGAGATTCAAGTGGATCTAACCAGATTAACTGATGGGACGTCCGAGCTTGGGGAAGCTTGCCGGATAGATGGGAACATGCTAATAGGGGGAGCGTGGTAGCTCTCATCTGTAGCTATGCAAAGAGGCTCTCATAGAAAGAATCATACAGCGAAAGCACATAATGCATCTTGGAGGATCACAAGACACCGTGAACTCTACTGGTGGTGGTGCGATGATGCTGCTGCAGCAACACTCGTGAAGAAGAGCTAGGCTCGCTGGTATCACCTGTTGTGCATGCTTGGAGTGCATCGAAGCACCACCAAGAAAGCTTCTCCCGGTCTTTCGAAAAGGCTCGAAAACGATGTTCAAGCCCGTTGCCCTTGTCAACACCAGCAGTCAACAGCAACAGTCTATGCGTGCGAAGGAGTACCACAAACAAACGACATGTATGCGCACTGCTGCAAGATCTCACCCGTATCCGTGGCGTGGATAGACTGGCTGCCCAGATGTGTCCAGGCGCGGCCCTGGAAAAAGTGTGGTGCTCGTTGTGTGTGGGTCGTGTGTGCGGTGCGCAGGTTGTGAAAGGGTCGTGCGAGCGAGGCGATTAGGCGGGGTGGCGGGGCTTTGATGCGGGGCTAAACTCAAAATTGTTTGTCCGCGGGAGGTCATCGATCCGACAACATCAAAGAGCGACTAATGGCCCGGTTTGACCGAGACGATGTTTGCACATCATCTACAGCGGTAGGCGGACTACCCGGCGCTCTTGATATAATTGCCCGCTCGAAGACAAGTGTTGAGATCCTTACATTTGGTTGAGCAGAGGGTGTTGGCGGAGGTTATGATGAGATAGAAATTCATATGCATATGCACGCACATGCACTGCTGTGTCGAAGGGTTCCTCCTACTCCCTGCGAACGGACGAATACTNGCGACCGCACAGTGTGCCAAGACCCCGATGATCTCGGTAGTCTACAGTTGATTTGTTTCCGGATCTGGGTTGGCGTAGTTCAACGTCAACATTGGGCAGCAACAGGGCGTTCCGGGCTCTCCCTGCGTACAAATCACATCTGCAGCAATGTTCTTCGGTGCCTGAACGGAGAAGCCAGAACGTCCTGGCCTTCTAGTCACAGCCCCGGCGTCCCGTTTTTTTTCTCTCTCAATCTCGATATTTCTCCATATTGTCCATGTCTACTCATGCCTAGACTATGCCTACAGAAAGGGGGGATGAAGGAGAAACGTTCGTACCGTGCACCATTCACCGTCCAAACAAATGTCATTTACCATCCGGGAGGACGGGAGCACGGGCGGACCTAAATCGACCGAACTTTTTTCCCCTTTGGATCCTGCGTTCAAGCAGAGATCCAAGCAGAGATTCAAGTGGATCTAACCAGATTAACTGATGGGACGTCCGAGCTTGGGGAAGCTTGCCGGATAGATGGGAACATGCTAATAGGGGGAGCGTGGTAGCTCTCATCTGTAGCTATGCAAAGAGGCTCTCATAGAAAGAATCATACAGCGAAAGCACATAATGCATCTTGGAGGATCACAAGACACCGTGAACTCTACTGGTGGTGGTGCGATGATGCTGCTGCAGCAACACTCGTGAAGAAGAGCTAGGCTCGCTGGTATCACCTGTTGTGCATGCTTGGAGTGCATCGAAGCACCACCAAGAAAGCTTCTCCCGGTCTTTCGAAAAGGCTCGAAAACGATGTTCAAGCCCGTTGCCCTTGTCAACACCAGCAGTCAACAGCAACAGTCTATGCGTGCGAAGGAGTACCACAAACAAACGACATGTATGCGCACTGCTGCAAGATCTCACCCGTATCCGTGGCGTGGATAGACTGGCTGCCCAGATGTGTCCAGGCGCGGCCCTGGAAAAAGTGTGGTGCTCGTTGTGTGTGGGTCGTGTGTGCGGTGCGCAGGTTGTGAAAGGGTCGTGCGAGCGAGGCGATTAGGCGGGGTGGCGGGGCTTTGATGCGGGGCTAAACTCAAAATTGTTTGTCCGCGGGAGGTCATCGATCCGACAACATCAAAGAGCGACTAATGGCCCGGTTTGACCGAGACGATGTTTGCACATCATCTACAGCGGTAGGCGGACTACCCGGCGCTCTTGATATAATTGCCCGCTCGAAGACAAGTGTTGAGATCCTTACATTTGGTTGAGCAGAGGGTGTTGGCGGAGGTTATGATGAGATAGAAATTCATATGCATATGCACGCACATGCACTGCTGTGTCGAAGGGTTCCTCCTACTCCCTGCGAACGGACGAATACTGATGATGCATGTCTGGGGACGGATACATGCGGCTGATGATGCATGTCTGGGGACGGATACATGCGGCAGGTGGGTGTATACTCTGGAACACGCAGAAACGCGGGTGCTGCTACTGTCCAATATGCCCCCCTGCTGCTGTCGACCCACCAACGTAAAGTACGAGAGCCGGCCATCGCATGATGGAAGTGGTCCGATATTTATTTAACTTTTCAGATCATGTGGAAACCGCTCCAACTGGCTTTATCAANTGTGTCCAGGCGCGGCCCTGGAAAAAGTGTGGTGCTCGTTGTGTGTGGGTCGTGTGTGCGGTGCGCAGGTTGTGAAAGGGTCGTGCGAGCGAGGCGATTAGGCGGGGTGGCGGGGCTTTGATGCGGGGCTAAACTCAAAATTGTTTGTCCGCGGGAGGTCATCGATCCGACAACATCAAAGAGCGACTAATGGCCCGGTTTGACCGAGACGATGTTTGCACATCATCTACAGCGGTAGGCGGACTACCCGGCGCTCTTGATATAATTGCCCGCTCGAAGACAAGTGTTGAGATCCTTACATTTGGTTGAGCAGAGGGTGTTGGCGGAGGTTATGATGAGATAGAAATTCATATGCATATGCGCGCACATGCACTGCTGTGTCGAAGGAGGGTTCCTCCTACTCCCTGCGAACGGACGAATACTGATGATGCATGTCTGGGGACGGATACATGCGGCTGATGATGCATGTCTGGGGACGGATACATGCGGCAGGTGGGTGTATACTCTGGAACACGCAGAAACGCGGGTGCTGCTACTGTCCAATATGCCCCCCTGCTGCTGTCGACCCACCAACGTAAAGTACGAGAGCCGGCCATCGCATGATGGAAGTGGTCCGATATTTATTTAACTTTTCAGATCATGTGGAAACCGCTCCAACTGGCTTTATCAACTACAGCAGATAGCTGTCTGAGGTGCGTCTTGATGTGGCGGCTAGCAGCAGTATTGCAGATCTACCAGCTCAGTCGATAGGTACTATATGTCCATCCTTCATCTATCCTCGTCAACGAACGCCAAAGAGATGGAAAAAAACACGAAGCTGCTGATGTTGAGGCTACGACAGCAGTTGGCTGCTTCTGGAGGAAAAACGGCGAACAGCTACACACTTGCGGGCAGCCTTGTAGAATACCGCCCACCTCAACACCACTTCGAGACCTCGAGTGAGAACGTGAAGATGGATCTCCCTCCATTGTGTAGATGTGGACAAGGCACGTTGACAGCACGCAGGTCACACAAACCAGCTGACCCAAACAGAGCACAGAGCACCATATCACCAGCGATCAGCAGGTTCTCGTGCCGGTTCATCGAAACCAGCTCTCGTCAGCGCAAGATCTCTGTTGACGGAATGTTGGAATGTTGCCCATGTCATGAGGCCGGCCCGCATGCATGCATATTTTGTCTTCCCCC